CGGAGTATGTCCAAGAGCTTGTGCTGTGATTTAGTGACTTCCTTGAGGGGCATTTGGAGAATGTCAGCCATCCTTTTAAATAGATCTTGAAACTGTTTGAATTCATCTCCGGCAGTAGGTGGCGGAGGCATGATGGTCTCGTCAGGCGAGGGAGGAGGGTTTGTGACAGGAATAGCCTCCTGGTGCACAACCTCCTCTGTTTCTTTGAAAGACTGCACATGGGAAATGTCAAATGGTGCTGCTGATGCTGGTGAGGAGACTATGACAGGGGTGGCCAATCCTGGCTCCGGAGCCACATGCGGCTCTTCAGAAGTTAATATGCAGCTCCTTGTATAGGCATCGACTCTGGGGCTGGAGCTACAGGCGCCAACTTTCCAATGTGCCGCGGGGTGCTCACTGCTCAACCCCTGGCTCTGCCACAGGCCCTGCCCCCACTCCACCCCTTCCCACACCCTCCCGAGCCTGCCATGCCCTCGCTCCTCTCCCCCCCCCCCCAGCCTCATGCATGCCACAAACAGCTGATCGGGAGGTGTGGGGAGGGCTGCCAGTGGGTGGGAGGCACTGGGAGCGGGGGCAGCTAATGGGGGGCTGCTGATATGTTACTGTGGCTCTTTGGCAATGTACAATGGTAAATTCTGGCTCCTTCTCAGTTTCAGGTTGGCCACCCCTACTCTATGAGCTTCCCTGGGACCCCTCGGGCGTTCAGAGTAGTATTGGCTGTAGGCTGCCCATGGGTCCCAGAGGGCCATTGTGGTGATAAAAGCGCTGGTGGAGGTTCCCATGGGTAACTGTACCGCCCCTGGAAATCTGATCTGGGGTGATGCTTAGGCTGCACTTGTGGCTCAAATCTGATACTGCCTTGCAAAGGTGAGGAGTGTTGGGACGAAAAAAAACCTTCCCCTTGCTTGTCTTCCTCGGTGATAGTGAAAACAGCAAGACAGTATCAGTACCAAAGAAAAGCGACTCAGGTGCCAGGGCCACTGACAGATCCGTAGGTGCAAGAAACTGTTGTAAGTTTGGTACTGGCAGTGCCGTCTGCATTTGCAGCGGTGCCGAGAGTTGCTGCGGTACCAGAAGGTATTGTGGCGCCTGAGGAATAGGTGCCAACATCAACTGCACCGAGAGGGAGGGAGCAAGTTTTACTGCTGATGCATCCTTGCAATGTGGCAAGGAGCTAGCAGGTGGCGTCAATGCCTTAGAAACTGCAGAGGCACTGGGCACCGAGTGTTTAGTTGTTGCTGCCGGTGCCATGGTGGAATGGGCAGTCTTTTCTCTTCCTTCCTTTTTAGAGCCTGCCCGCTTAGGGTCTGTGGCTTTGACGGTACCGAAGTCCCGGCTCACCCATAGGTACTTTGCCACAGTGTGGTTGGTACCGATGCTGGAGCCCAAATCGTGGAATGCTTCCTCTTAGGTCTGGTCTACACTGGGGGTCGGTGGGGGAAAATCGATCTAAGTTACGTGACGTACTTTCTTGTGCGAGCCTCGAAGTTGTGGCAATGGGTGCACTTTTGGGGTACGTGTTTCCCCCAAGCACTAGACATATTGAGTGTCCACCTGAAAGTGGAACTGCCTCGTGGCAGGAGAGGCAACATTTAAAGCCTGGAGATCCTGGCATTTTGAAGAAAATATCCCAAGTAGGACGAAATGATAAAGGATTTTTTGTTTTTATACAGGGAAGAAAGAGAGAGAGAGAGTCTTAATAAACTACCCTAACTATTTGAGACTCACACTAATCTAGCTGTTATGTACTGCTAACACGAAGGTAAAACTAGTGAGGCACTGTCAGAGCTCCAACTCAGACCAAGAGCGGTTGAGAAGGAACTGGGGGGTGGGGGGTGAGATGGGGGCAGCAGCCGCACAGCGCTAGTTAATTACTGCTGCAGGCGCGAGACTGGGAGAGCATGTGTGGCCCAGCCAGGTACTGCTGTCGAAATTCTCTGACTAGAGGCGCAGGGGCGCGCAATCACCTAAAGTGGAGCACCCACCAGGACTCCATTCAAAGAAGAACAGCACATTACTGTGACTGACCATTAAATTTCTCCTTTCAAGGTCTCCTTCAACCACATAGCCCCACGTTGAGCTCTTCTAATGGCCCACGTGTTCAAAGTCAGCAGACAGCCACTCTACCTCTACTCCAGCAGCAACTTTTCCTCTTCGACTCACAGGTGGTATGAAGGATACAACAGACAGCTATAACCACTGGGATATTTTTCTCACTGAGATCTAATCTGGTGAGTAAACACTGCCAGTGCTCTTTCAACCTGATGAATGTGCATTCAAAACTGTCATTCTGTGCCGCTGAGTCAGTAGCTGAAACTTTCCAGGATGCTGTTGAGGTGGCCAGTGTTTGGCTTTGTAAGACAGGGGAGCAAGAGGTAGGCTGAGTCCCCCAAGATAATTATTGACATTTCAACATCACTAACAGCAATCTGCCGGTCAGGAGAAAGCATCCCTGCTTCCAGATTCATGAACAGCCGTGTTCTTAAAATGCAACCCTCCCCAATCAATCCACGCAAATGACAGTGAAGCATCCCTGATGATCTACCAATGCTTTCGTAACCACAGAAAAGTAGCCCCTTCTGTTGACGTACTCTGTGTGGGGCCAAAATAGGGATGTGTGCGCCATCTACCACCCCACTGCAGTTCGGGAACCCATAGCTACAAATATCCACAATATCCTACATATTGCAGAGCATCACAGTTCTGCTAACAGGAGATGATAAATAGCCCTACATATTTGCATGACAATAGCCCCCACTGTGGATTTTCCAACTTCAGAATGATTTCCCACTGACCAGCAGCAATACAATGCTGTAAGCTTCCATGGTGCTATCACTACTCACTTCTCAACTGCCAGTACAGCTCTCATTCTTATGTCTATGCTCTGGAGCAAATTCGGCTAACAGATCCAGGAACGTGGCCTTTCACATCCTGTAGTGCTGCAGCTACAGCTTGTCCCATACCTGCAGTACGATGTGATCCAATCAGTGCTTGTTTCTCAGGCCCAGAACAGCCCTGTCTGCAGCTGTCCATGACCATCACCAAGCTCCAATTGTTTTTCGCTATGTCCCTTAACAATGTGTCTTGAAACAAATCATCATGATTCCCCATTGTTGCAGTATCTCCTGCAGCTCTGCAAATACCAGAGGATCATTCATTCTCTATTTGCAATGTTCATGACAACAGCGCAGAGCTGTCCAGGTTTCATGCTTTTGGCAGAAATGGCAGACAGCAACAAGTGCTGCGAGAGTTTGTGGAATTTTTAAGAAGGAGCAAAAGATCACGGGATAAGGATGGCATGAAGAGGATGGAAAAAGTTGCATGATGGGAACTTGACTCCTTACTCCCAGTCACCCCTGCATGCCCCACAACTTGTGCATGCCCCACAACGCATTGCGAAAATTCCCTACAAGGCACTTTCCCTGGAAGGTGGTATGTGGCACACTGGGATACCTATCAATGGTACACTGCACTTTGTGTCACCACAAGCACTCCCGGTGAGTACATGCAGCAGCGATGCAAGCAGCCAAGCATGCAGGAGCACTATACTAACTGCACCAGTTTCATGCTACTGCACCTTGCATTAACCAGTTTGTAGTGTAGACATGGCCTGAGACGTGTGAATTGCCCCATTCATAACAAGCCCAATCCACTCATCCAAGGAGATACCACAGCTGCTGGGGCAGGTACAGGAAGGCACTCAGCTTCACCCTCTCCCCTCAGGGTGGCGAGAGAGGACCACCTCCTGCTCAAGGGAGAAGAGGGCCTCCTAATGCTGCTCTGGGACAAAAAGGAGTCCTCTTGCCACAACCATTCCAAATGAGGGCTAGGCATGGTAAGGAGGCAGAGTCATAGGATGCCCCATGTTATGGCGTACTATTACCCCAGATTGCGTTAATTTGGCCTTCACATGAAGTCACAGTTCTGCAAACCCTTATTCAGCGGGGTACTCCTGTTATTCACATGAGTAGTCTTAGGGCTGGTCTACACTAATGCTGTAAGTCTTTGACATAACTTAGGTCTCCTTACAGTGGTGTCTACACCGTATTACGTCAATGGCAGATGCTCTCCCATCGACTAGTGCGTCTTCACCGGACCTGCTAAATCAACACCACTGCATCAATTGCAGCAGTGTCAATTTAGCTAGTAGCGTAGATGTGGCCCTACGCGAACGTCAAAAGAATACGCCCAGGAATAAGGGTTTGCTGAAACAAGAACCAAATGGCTAAATCAAGAGGCTGTTACCTCAGTGTAATAGCCTCTAGACATCCTCTGAGAAAAGTCAGCATTTGCAGCTTCAAACCTAATTTCTGAAAGCTACAAATCAAGTAATTTCTTCAACAGAATCTCATTTTAGGCACATCATTCACTACTCCTCCAGAGAACTTAAATATGTACATTTGCCTTAAAGTCAACTGTGCCAATATCAAAATTCAACTCCACCATTTTCTTCCTCAGTATCACAGTTCCATTATTACCACTGCCTATAACTGCAATGCCACCAACTACTCTATCTTTGACCTCAAATATAGACCAGAAGTAATGCCATGAAAGCAGTGATTTTTGTAGAAGGCGTTCACAGCTACAACTCTCATTGGTGGCATGATAAAACCTGAACAGATAGCTAGATACACGTGAAGACCTGATGCAACAATATAATGCATCAATTTGTATTATTGTACCTAGGAACTCTAGTCACGGACCGGGACCACATTGTGCCAGGCGCTAGAACAAAAAGATATATTCCTTGGGGCAAGGACTATGCTTACCACAAGATACATTAAAGAAAACATGTTTATTTCAAAGCTCAATGCTTTATTAACTGCGCCTCAGCCCCACCATCGTGTACACTGAGTACTGAAGAAAAATAGTTAGGCCCTGATCCTGCAAACATTTAAGTAAAGTTAACCACAAGCCTAAGTGCTTTCAGAATAAGGGCCAAAGTTTGTAGAGCTGCATGAAGGAGAAAAAGCTTCTGATGGGAATTTATATTTACTTACTCTCCAGGGCCTCCACAGTAGCAGTAACATTGCTGAATATTGGTTTTATGGCCTGCATCCCATTCAAGGTCTGCTACGTTGTACGGTAATGTTTGCTTCATGACTTGTAGCGCTTTGGCATTTGGTCCTTTCTTCAGCGCACCACCCCTCTGGAACAAAACAGATCCATGTTTTTTATAAAAACCAATAAGTGTAGTTATGCAAATTACAAAATCTTTCAACACAAAGGCGTATCTAGTTATAAAAATACTTTAAGAATTTTACCTGCAATTTTGATATACCAGCCGTTTTATTAAAAATAGCCTTTGAAAAAATATAATCAAATTTCATAGCTTCCAATTTATTCACAAGAATTTCCCATCCAGATCAAAGCCAGGAACTGTGGGAAATCTCTCACAGCACTAGTTTTTATTTGTCATTTTCAACCTCACACTTAAAAGTTTACATTAACCACCATACAAATACTATGGAGGAGTAGATGTACAAGTTAGGTCAGCCTGATAGAGAAAAATTTGTTTCCATAACACACCTTTGTTGTTGTTGCAAAAACACACTGTCGACAGAGCCATTTATCATCTGAATCAATCACGCTGGAATCAATATTTGGTGTGTGACACAGCTGATGATAACCTGAATTCAAAATACAGATTTTACTCTTATAAAGAAACCCATTAAAGACTTTACCCATATTTACAGGAACTAAAAAGTTTTAGAAAGAAAAAAAGTTGTTTAAAACAAAGTAAAATATCCTTCATTTAAGTAAAAAGATTGTGATCAGGTAATAAGATCAATAGTGTTCCAAATGCTCTTTTTAAAGTTCTTGTGGTAAAAACTATATTCACAAAACAGACCTTGTAAGTCAGTTTACAATAAACAAGAACTGTGAAAGATTACAAAACTCAAGCCAAAAAGCAGTCAAGCATTCACCCCTGTTCTGGCTTTTTTTGCCTTTCCATTGGCCACAGCTGAGAATAAACCAAAAGGTCTTAAATGAAACAAACGTCAAGAAACAGAAGTTACCTTGGCCACATTTATCACATATAACCATTTCATTAGGTGCTTCGGAATACTCTTCCTGACATATCGTACAGACCATTTCCCCACTTTCAGTGGCTCCTGAAAATAGACAAAAGTGTAACTCATTTTATACATTTATTTTGAATTTTCCCAGTTAAATCTCTTTTTAACTAAAATCTTTAGTTGGGAAGATCATTAATTACTTTTCTTTTTGTAGTCTGAGTCACGTGTGTGTGGATTGCAGGGAGCAGATTCATGCTATACTGAGTAATCCACAAAATAGTTAAGATACTCATCACCCGTTTGGTTTTGGGACACAGACCAGATCTCACCAGCACTGTTAGCAACAACACATTGCAAAGCATGACCATTATCCCCATTCCATTATAACAAAAACCTACAGGAGGGGATAGAAGCACTGAGGAAGCACATAGCAACTGTGTGGCGTAGTGAAAAGACTACTGGGACTATTCCTAGCTGGATGACCTTGGGCAAGGCATTTCACCACTCTGTGTCTCAGTTTCCCTTCTGAAAAATCGGGATAATGATGACAAGCACTATACAAGTTAGGTCTTTTGATTATTATCTAGCCTCAACAGCATATCAACTACAAACCCAGATAAGAAATACAACTGTCTAAATGGTCGCTAACCTCTAACAACAAACATTTTTCTGTTTAAAAAACGAGGAAGTTAAATGGCAAAAAGACTTCATTAATGTGGACATAAGTATGTCCAGTGATAACTTGTGCCCTTCTAGAATGCTGAGGTCAGCAAAACTCAAACTTCTGAAAACCAGAAAACACATAGTTAAGGTAAACAGCCTCACTTCCTTAAATCTGCCTTCTGAGCAATGCCCCAATATACACACAAGCCCACTCTGGGGCTTTTCACTATAATGGACAGGTGCTACCTACACTTGTCCTATGCTCAAACACTGAGCCTAATTACTGCCCCAACATACTTCTTACCCATTTACAAGTGTAGTGACTTGACTGCAAATGTGAAGGAGTTGTAAAATTTAAGATACCATCTAAACCTATACTTTCCCCTTTCATTAGATCCACAGAGTGTGCTCTCATATTCTACCTCAGTATTCATAATACCCATAGCAACAAGACCCCAGAGCCCCGCTACTGACAACCTCCATAATTCTGTATTGAAGCAATGCAAACTGGAACCTCAAGGTATATATGCACCTCTTTTCTTTGATAATACTGCACCCAACAAAGTGAATGCACCTGGAGTGTATGCAGCTAATTCTTAGTGGTTATTGCCAGCTCCAGGGGGGTACAATTAAGGTTGTATGAGTGCTTATCTTGACTATTTCCTGGGTTCTTAGAAGTTTGAGTTTTGCTAAACCTGACATTCTGGAGGGGCATGAGCTATAACCAGCAACCTTAACTCTGCATTAACAATTATTTTGCTATTTAATATAGGTGCAGAATCAAAAAGATGCATCTGCAAAATTCTGATAGGCAACTGTGAGCTTTGTTTTGTATGCAGAAACACATTATGTTCAGTAATTTATTGTATCTTTACATACAGATTTTTTTATGTGCAATTTATGTTCATAGCTTTTGAAAGATTTGCCCATAGTGCTTTGCATTTTCTTAACAGTAAATACACTGTTAAATAATCCTTAAAAATCCTGTGAGAGGGGAAGTCACTATTTATATAAAACCATGTACATAAGTGTGCAGCATTAGTTTAGCCCCATGTCTATTTGGCTAGACCATACTAGCACAAGTTTAGCTGCTGCTGCAGATGAAGCCCCATAGGCACTCCACACAAACAAGAATGTGACTTTTTAAAATGGAGATTTTGTTTTTCTTAAAATTTGATACAAGTATAAGGACATTTCACATTAAGATGGCAGGAAAAATGTTTGGCCTAACAAATAGGTAGCAGTAATGACCAGGTCCATTTACCATTATTTACATTTGGCCAGGAAGATGTGACTGTTCCTCTCTGACGCAGACCTTGCAACTGTCATCCATACCTTTGTCACCAAGATTACACAACAGCAATGCACTCTAAACAATACCTTAAAACCATCTGAAAACTGAAGATGGTTGCAAAATCCAGTGGTGCACTATATCACTGCAAGCATATTAAATCAGCACTTCGCAATCTGCAGCAGCTGCCTGTGGGTTTCTGGTGAAGTTTAATGTGTTGTTCCTGACCTATATGATTTAGGATTTACCAATCTGCAAGACTGCCTGCCTCCCTCCCCACGCGATGGTTTATTGATGTTGGGTCTTTAAACTGTACTGCATTTAAGATGTGTTTTTAACTCATTTCAAGAGACTACCAAGGACACTGTACTTTAGCATTTAAATTATTCTAAATAAATAAAATATTGATAATTTAATTGAAGTTCTTGCCTGTTTGTATATCCTTCCAGAGAACCCAGGATTTGGAACTGTCTTCAAATATAACGAAGCAGCTCTGTTTCAATTTGTTTATCTGAAAAATAAAGATACGATTACGATTTTGTGAATATGTAGAAACGTTAAAAATAAGGAAGAGCTTTATTTAACATTGTAGTCAAGCTTAACATATGATGCTACAGGACTTCCTGCATGTTAAAAATTAGTTACCTTTTTGATAGTTCCAAGATAAAACAAGCCATCTGACCACCTCGCTAGGACATCCTGACCTTCTTCAAATTTACACACTGGCTTTTTGGCTTTCTGTCCATCCCGTAAGGACAGCTTGGCCAAGGATGTTGGTGTCTTTTGGTTTCGAGGTAAAGGAGACCGCTTTTGGACCAGTGAATTACCCACCCCTGTAGAGTCTCTAAAAGAAAAAGAAAAAACTAGATTAGGATAATGTATTAAACTTGTCACTTGTACTTCAGTCTGCCTTAATAGCACTTACAAAGAAAAGCCTCTCTGCTAATCCCCAGAACTGTGTAATAAGTCAATAACTAAAACACATTGCCATTAAAATTCAAAAAGCATCAAAACCAATCAAGGGAATCCAATACTTAACAGGGAAAGGGAGGAAGGAGGAGAGACTGGTTCAATGTGAGGCCATAAAAACAACTTTGTACGGTGACCTATATAATCATTGTTATTATTCTATAGTGATAGAAATTACTTGTTTAAGGGCAATATGGATCTAGATAAGAAAATTGTAATTTTAGTAGCTCAAAAGTTACAACTCAGTTCTTAGAACAAACTGTCCCTTCTTCCAGGACAAGCTGCTCATCTACCTGTATTTAGATCCCCTGGATGCTCTGGCTGACCCAGTACATCTAACTTCAGCCTGAAAATGAAAACGCCTCCCATCTCATTTTTCGAGTACACTGAAAGGCAGAAGAAACATTCTGCATGCCCAGACCATCACTTTGCTACATTTCTCTTTCCGACTCCACTCAGACAGTTGAGTTACAAACTATACAAGAGAATGCATGTGGCAGATTGTCCCCAAAGTACACTATCGAGCCAGGGAAGCAGCTCCAGGGGGTGGAAGGACAGAGACAGGTGCAAGGGAGCCGAGGCTGAGGCCACAGTCAGGGGCGGGAATGGAGATGAGGCCGCAGGGCTGGCAGCCGGGACCCCAGGCACAGGGCCAGGGGCGGAGCTGAGTGGTGTCTCCCCCCCCCCCCCCCCCCGGGGCCTGCCCAAGCCCCAGCCCCAACCCCCCCGAACATTCCTTGGCACGCCCCACAATTTGGGGACCTCAGTACTGTGTAATGCAACTATAATTTGGTGGCATTTATGAGGAAACTGAGGTGGGAAGCAAGTTTTCATTTTCCACATAAATTTGGATAATTTATATACCCAAAATTTAAATAAAGTGCAGCACTTAGTACAGCAGCCACAAATGAAGTTCCATTCATTTAAATCAGGGTTTCAGTTTTCCTAGCACATTTTTTTTTCCTCTTAATTTGTCTAAAAAGACAGTAGTCAAACAAAACTTTAAAATAGCTTAGGGCAGGTCTACACTACAAACTTGCATTGGCACAGCTACATCTCTTCTCGGCTTAACTCCACCTCTGTGAGAAGTGATAGCTATGACCATGGGAGAAGCTCTTCTGATGACAAAGCACAATCTACATAGGGAATTAAAGTTGGTACACTACCGGGCTAAGTCAATCTAAATTTCTCCATCCCATCATTCCATGGGCTTCCTAGTACATTTTGCACTGCTTTTCAACAGACCCTGTAAACTGCGCACCCACAGTTCTCTGTCAGGAAGCATGGATCCTGCACAGCTCTCCAGTACTGCAAGGAGCCTTATGAACAGAATGCACCTGATCCTGCAGTGTTTCATGAGCTGCAAACTGATGACACTGTGGTGTCTGCCCTGTTGTGTGCCATGGACAGAAACAATTCAAGATTGCTGTTGGCATTCACAGAGCAGCCGACGGTTCTGGGTGTGAGAAACAAGTACTGAGTGGTGGGACTGCATTGTTATGTGGGTATGGAATGATGAGCAGCGGCTGCAGAACTTTCGGATGTGCAAAGCCACCTTCCCGGAACTGTGTGTGGATGCCCTCCAGTGCAATGACACGAAAATGAGAACTGCTTTAACAATGGAGAAGCCAGTGGTGATCGCAGTGTGGAAGCTGGCAATGCCAGACTGCTACCCAATAGTCACAAACTAGTTTGGAGTGGAAAAGTCCACTTTGGGGGTTGCAGTGATGCAGGCATGCAGGGCCATTAATCATCTACTACTATGAAGGACTGTGACTCTAGGCAACAGGTGTGAAATAGTGGCAATGGGATTCCTTAACTGTGGTGGGGCAATAAATGGCGCGTATATCCCCATTTTGGCCCCAGCCCACCTTGTGACACAGTACATCAACAAAAAGTACTATTTTTCTATGGCATTGCAAGCGCTGGTGGATCACCAAGATCATTTCACTGACATCAACACGGGCTGATCAAGGTGTATGACACACGCATCTTGAGGAACGCTGGCCTGTATAGGAAGCTGCAAGCAGGGACTTTCTTTCCAGACCAGGGGGAATGTGGAAATGCCAGCTGTGATCCTGGGAGTCTTACATCAGCAACCCTGACTGCAGCAAGGAGCACTTCAACAACAGGCTCAGCAGGCACAGGGCTTAATGGGGCACTGGCAGTGCCTCTTTGGCAGGTTGGACCTCAGTAAGGAAAATATTTCCATGGTCATAGCAGCCTGCTGTGTTCTGCATAACATTTGTGAAGCTAAAAGGGGAGAAGGTTCCACAACGTGGAGCGCTGAGGTGGACCGGCTGGCTGCTGCTTTTGAGCAGCCAGATACCAGAGCTTTAAATGGGGCTCAAAGGGGAGCTATTCGAATCAGGGAAGCTTTAAAAGAGCATTTTGACAATAAGCCGCTGTAATGTATTGAGCCAGGCATTGTTTTCTTGCATCATAGTATGAACCTTGTAATGATTTGTGTGTGCGCAGTAATTTAAACAATGCAAATGCACCTATTGGCACTGTCTGAATTTTAGCAGCAACCACTGTATATAGGAGACAGATTCATTCACTTTCTGTAAGTACATTTTTATTCCACACCCATGCAAACATTTCTATGTTTGGTAGGAACATGAAAATCAAAAGCACAATTGCCAATGAGGCTCTCACCGCTGGATGTATGTCTAGCTGTCATTGTGGAAAATCTCCCTTGGGTATGACAGCCCTAGAAGATGTGAGGTGTGTGTGAGGAGGGCCTAGAAGGCAGTTCAGTATGGGCTGCAAGAGGAAGTGAGCATGGATGTGTTCCACCTGAAGTTCATTCAGGGACCGCAACACATCTGTTTGCTCCCTAAGCAGCTTTATCATCTGCTCCTGCCTGTTTCCTATCCTGACTATTCATCTGCAGTTTGTCGTTGGTTGCCTCTCTCCATGCTGTCTGCTCCCAATCCGAAGCACCAGAGGATTGCATCACCTCCTGGAACACATCATCTTCCTTATTCCTCTTGTTTTGTCTCCTTATCAGATGGAGAGACTCAGCCAGTGTGCAAGAGAAGACCTTCAAGGGCACCTCTGCTGATGCTAAAGAAACACCACAGACAGAAGCTCTATTGCGAGTGCACTCACACCCTTGATCCAAACAAGTTAGAAACACAACTGTCTCACTTTCCCATGGCGGGCATACAGCACGGCAGTAGCCCCAGCCATGCTGAGTTCAACATGGGGGTGATAGCGTGGGTATCTCGCTCCTGAGGGTAACCGAGGATGCAAGAGTACAGCTCCTGCATGCATGTAGATGTATGCTGCTCTCCTATGTGCTGCTATGATTATTGCAGAAGTAATTGTCGATTGGCACAGCAAAGTTTCCTACTGCAGGGGAAGAAACAACGCAGCCCTCCCAAGAAACCTTTGGCAGAGGATTGCAGATTACCTCCATGAAAGTTTTCTAGAGTTCTCTATGGATGATTCTCGGGACATCCCAGTGTGCATAAACTAATTTTTCCACAGGGCCCCTCTGCCTACCTGCACAGGTGAATGAGAACCAGATACAAACTGTACCTGTCTTGGTTATTTCAATCCCTCTTCTACCCTGGTTAACAAACCAGATCAGCAGCATGTGTCCCTGCAGAATTAACCGGAGCTTCCGTCTCCTGCATTAGGCGCACCAGAGCCGGAGTGCTGGGACTGGCTAGACTGCTCCGGAATTAAAAAGAAGTTCTGGCTTGCCACACCATTGGATGTCCCTGTCGCCTGTCTCCCATCCTCCTCCAACTCCACTTCCTCGTCCACTAAGTCATCCTCGGGGTTCACTCTGCTGGCTATTGACTCCAGCTCCCCTAAAGTATCCACAGGGCTCTTGACAGTTGAGGTGGGGTTGCCGCTGAGGATGGCATACAGCTCCTTCTAGAAGCAGTACGTCTGAAGTGCCACACCAGAGCGACTATTAGCCTCTCTTGCCTTCTGGGATGCCTGCCTCAACTCCTTGATTTTTGAACAGCACTGCTGTATCCCCCTATCATACGCCTTCTTTTTAGGTGACCCCTAAAACTCCTTAGTTCTTCTTGGACGCTCTCTAATTCTTCACAATCGTTCTGCCACCAATAAAGAGGGAGGCTGTGCTCCGAAGGTCATCTCTGTGAAGTTTAAATGCAACGTTTTACAGAAGCAGTATTGTTTACAACACAGACAACACTGTTTCAGTGCTTTAAAAGACAGCCAGTACTCACACACCTGTTACTAACTGGCTGACCCCAGGCAAGCGCACACAAGCCACAAGACCCCCAAAATGGTGATTGGGCACAGGGTCAGGGTAAATCACTGTTCCCAGACCCTGCTGTACACTGGGCACGTGGCTCTTGGGCACCTGGGGAGAGCCAGCACTGTAGGGGGCAGGGGGCTGATAATCATTCCTGTCCCCACACTTTCCACAGGAGGCTATCATTATGGAAGATATCTCGCTGCTGAGGGTGAGCAGGGAATCAAGGGAGGGTCTTCTCCAAGCTTGCGGCTTCTGCCCTGGCCCCCGTGTGGTTAGCCTGTGTGCAGCAATGGTCCCCACCCCCTGTGACGGCACAGTGGCGCAGGAAAGTTACCGTTAATGGGGCAAGAAACAAAGCAGCCCTTCCGAGGAACCTGTGGGAACAGATTGCCCAGTATCACCATGACAGTTTCCTGGAGATCTCTGAGGGAGATTCCTGCGAAGTGAGGGAGTGCATCAACAGCCTGTTCCACCGCTCAAACTAGGCATGAGGTAGGAGACAAGCCTGCTTTCTGCAACCCTCCTGTCCCCAACAACTCACTTCAGCAATTCCCAAAATCAGATCCGCTTACCAGGGGCCTCCTCTCCTGTTTGCGCTTCACCAAGATCTGACTGTTGTGACTGGCCAG